CTATCATCCTCCACGTCCGTTGAAACGTATGTATTTTACCAGGATATTAGACAGAATGTCAACAGAGCCAATTGAGGTACTAGTTTGGAAATTTTTTGTTGTATTAACCCTACTTTTTACATAGACATTGGGCATTGAATATTTCAAAAAAAAAAAAAAAACTAATGATCTATCCTTGGGCCTGTATCTATATTCCAATAACCATGTTTCTATTAATTGTTGGTTTGGACGATCAAGCTCCACCGATTATATCTTTCGTTCCTCTATGATCTTTGGGATAGGAAACTTAAATTATTAAAGAACAGAAAAAGGGGCACTCGTTAATAAATAAATGAAAAAACTTCCAATTTTTTAATGCTATGATTACTCTCGCGTTATGTATAATCACTATTTTTAGATATTGAATTAATTACCGTATCAATTATAGTTAACATGAGTATTCCAAGAGCTCTCACTTTAAAATGACCCCCAAAAACAGCTAGAGTTACTCTTGTTATCAGAGGAAGAAGTCCCTTCAATGTCACGTCAATTTTCCTATATGTAAACATTTTCGATGGTTATAACGGCTTTTTCTTACTTGACTAGATGGCCGCGACTCATACGATACATGTATACCATTCTACACTCACATCCTTTGAAACTTGAAATGAAAATATCTCTTCGAAAGCTTAATTTACTTCTTAAAATCAAGGAGTCCAGCAGCTCCTATATCTTGTTTAGGGTAACTTCATCCTCCTACCAACTAGAAAGTGACATTTCTTTGGCAACAACAACCGACATTTAATACAACATTAGTTGTGTAGTCCTACCTAGAGTTCCTAAAGACAAATGACATAATTTTGCTTGGTTTACTTCCGTTTCTCACGTCGAATTTCTGAATCTTCGATCCTTTTCCGAAATTAAAATTTTCTATGGAAAACTCATAAAATTACGAGGCGACGTCCTAACGTTCGAGTGTGAAATCCTTAAGCATTCGACACTCAAAATCGGATCATAATTTGTGACCGAAATCGATCAATCATAACTATAGTTCATCTCGAGCTAACGGATGGCTATTAGAAATAAATTCTTCGATAGCCTTTCCCCTTTGGTTAGGATTCCCTGAGTGATCAAGTCAGGGCGAGAATTAACTAATAGAGCATCGACAAAATCACCATTTCGTAAATTATCAAATTGGATCGAATTTTCAAGATATCATAATTCTTCCCCCCTTGCAGAAATTTCGTCTCCGAAATTTGAATTTACATCCAATTCCTCAAAAAGAAAGGGATACTGGCGCCTCATTATCTTTTCACTTTCCCACGTGGCTCCCTCGGTTCCATGGTGTTGCCACATAACTTTGACTAGAGGAATCGTCTTATTTCGTAGTACCTGTTCCTTCTGATCCTCGATTCTTACTGGTCTTTCCACGTACGACATTCTATCGTCGACGTCTATCTCCTCGTAATTCAGAACGTGGATCGGATCCGGCTCATACTTCCTTAACATTGACACGTGGAATAGGTCATGTACCTGAACCAACCTTGGCGGCAAAGCTAGGCGATACGCCAACGTTCCAATTTGCTCTAAGATCTCGAACGATCCTACATATCTTGGGCTCAACTTGCCTTTCTTGCCAAAGCGCAATATTCCTCACATGGGTGATACCTTGAGGAACACATGATCTCTGACTTGAAACTCCAATGGTCTACGTCGCCTATCTACATAACTTTTCTGGCAACTTTGGGCCGTCCTTAGCCTATCCCTGATAACTTTAACAGCATCCTACGACTGTTGCACCAACTCGGGTCCCGTAATCTTTCGTTCTCCAACTTCGTTCCAACAGACATGAGTCCTATAAGGTTTGCCATACAACGCCTCGAAAAGTACCATTCTAATACTTTGCTGATAACTGTTGCTATACGCGAACTCAACAAGATGTAGTTGTTCTTCCCAACTTCCTTTGAAATCCAGAACGTAGGCTCGCAGCATATCCTCAAGAGTCTGAATCGTTCCCTCGGATTGTCCATCTATCTACAGATGAAAAGCGGTACTGTATTGCAGCTTTGTTCCCATGGCACCTTGAAGACTCTTTCAGAACGTGGCGGTGAACTTAGAATCTCGATTCGACGTGATCGTTACAGGCACACCATGAAGGCGAACCATATGCCTTACGTACAACTCCGCATACTTGTCCATAGCAAAGTCCTTTCGCACCGGAATGAAATGAGCGGGCTTTGTAAGTCTATCCACTACCACCCAGATAGAGTCATTACCTCTTTGGCTCCTCGGTAGACCCATCACGAAATCCATCGTGATATGCTCCCATTTCCATTCCGGTATTCCCGGGGCAAAGAATCGGCCAGGCTTACAATGCTTGGGCCTTCACCGTTGACACGTTAAATATCTAGCCACATGCTTGGCAATATCTCCCTTCATGCCATTTCACCAATAATATTGGCACAGATTTTGATAAATCTTTGTGCTACCTAGATGAATACTATAGTTACTACGATGAGTTTCTGCTAAAATTTCCTCCTTAAGTCTTTCATCATTGGGCACGTACAACCGTCGACGAAACTTTAAGATCCCATCCTTAGATACTTGAAAGTCAGGTTTTCTTTTGGTTGCATCCATTTGCAGAATCTTTTGAAGTTTAGGATCCGAAGATTGCGTTGCTTTAATCCTGATTTGCATTTTGGGCTCAATTCTAAGAGTAGCCATTAAATTCGAGAGGTGACTTACCTCGAACTTGAAATCCAAGTCTCGAATTTCTTCAAGTAAAATCCATTCTTGAACCATCATATGCGCAATCGAAGACTTCCGACTTAATGCATCGGCCACCTTGTTAGCCTTACCAGGATAGTACGGAATCTCATAGTCATAATCTTTAAGCCGCTCCATCCATCTGCGTTGCCTCATGTTTAATTCCTTTTACGAGAACAAATACTTGAGACTCTGATGATCCGTATAAATATGAAACCTTTCCCTGCACAAATAATGTCTCCAAATCTTTAGCGTGAAAATGATCGCTGCTAATTCCAAGTCGTGCGTCGGCTAGTTCAATTTGTGCGGTCTTAATTGTCGGGACGCATATGCCACAACTCTCCCATGCTGCATTAAAACACATCCCAATCCTTTGTATGACGCTTTGCTGTAAATCTCATACCCTCCTGAACCAGACGATAACGTTAACACAGGCGCAGTAGTGAGCTTTTGCTTAAGCTCTTGAAAACTAAGCTCACACTTATCCGTCCATTCAAACTTTGTGTCCTTTTTTAGCAAGCGTGTCAAGGGCATGGCTATAGCAGAAAATTTTTCCACGAACTTCCTATAATAGCCATCCAATCCCAAGAAACTTCGAACTTCAGTTACCGTCGTTGGTCTAGGCCAATTCATAACCACTTCAATCTTAGTCGAATCTACTGAAATTCCTTCCCCATAAATCACGTGTCCAAGAAAAGCTACTTGAGTTAACCAAACTCGCACTTGCTAAACTTGGCATACAACTTGTGGTCTCGAAGGGTTTGCAACATTGTCCTCAAGTGTTGTTTGTGTTCCTCATAACTCCTCGAATACACTAGAATGTCGTCAATGAACACGATTACAAACTTATCCAAATACTCCTTGAACACCCTGTTCATCAAGTCCATAAAAGCTGCAAGCGCATTTGTCAGACCAAACGGCATCACGGTAAATTCATAGTGTCCATAGCGCGTTCGAAATACCGTCTTCGATATATCTTTCTTTCTAATCCTCAATTGGTGATAACCTGTCCTTAGGTCTATCTTCGAGAATACCGAAGTTCCTCGAAGTTGGTCAAACAAATCATCTATCCTTGGTAACGGATACTTATTCTTAACCGTCGCCTGATTGAGTTGCCGATAGTCGATGCAAAGGCGCAACGACCCGTCCTTCTTCCTTACAAATAGAACCGGCACTCCCTAAGTTGATGCACTAGGACAAATAAATCCTTTGTCCAACAACTCCTGCATCTAAACCTTTAACTCCTTCAATTCCGATAACGCCATTCTGTAAGGTGCCTTAGAAATCGGCTCCATACCAGGGACTAACTCAATCACGAATTCTACTTCTCTTTCTGGGGGCAACCCAGGTAATTCCTCAGGAAAAACATCCGAGAACTCTCATACTATAGCTATGTCTTGCACCTTCGATTCCTCTACTAGAGTGTCAACTACAGTTGCCAAATAACATTGGCAACCTTCATCCAACAATCGAGTAACTTCAAGTGATGAGATCAAAGGAATTGATGGTCCTCCTCGATTTCTGACAAACTCAAACCCAACACTCCCTAAAGGCTCAAATTGAATCGTCTTACGATAACAATTTACTGTGGCTGGTTGCTTGGTGAGCCAATCCATTCCAAAAAGCACATTGAAGTCAAATATCATCAAGACAATGAAATCTATGCTGTCGTCACGACCACCAATAGATAATTTACAATCAGCACATCCTACTGCAGACACTACGTTATCCTTTAAAGGGGTAGAAATACTATAGACCACTCTTAGCGGTTTCGGACTTAACCCCACTAGCTCCACAAATTGCTTAGCCACAAACGAATACGTAGCTCCAGAATCAAACAAAGTATAAGCAGCATGGTCGTGTAATGAGACCGTACCTATAATTATGGCGGGCGAGTCCTCCACCTCCTTCCTTCTGACAGCATAGACCCTTCCTTGTACTTGGGGTCGGTTCAATTGGTTCGGTGGGGTGTTCCTCGCAGGTTGTCCTACTTGCTGCGCTGATCCTTGCGCTCCCGTGTCTTGGCATGGACAGTCCTTCATGTGGTGACCGTGCTGACCACATCCAAAGTAAGCTCCCGTTCTCACAGGACATGGGGTTGATCCATGGTTCCTACGGCAAAAGTGGCATGTACTATTTTGATTGGGTGCCGGCTTCTTCACGCCACCTTTCCTGTTAGGAGGGACAGGGAACTTACTTCTTGTCATTGGTTTCTTCCCAAACCAATGATTATCCTTACTTGGAACAAACCGCGATCAAGACGCGGCTGTCTTGTCCACCAAGTTCCTCTCAATCAACTGTGCCCTCTCATACAACTCATCATAATCCTTCAGATTCAGAGGCACCACTTGATCCTTAATCTCGGGCTTCAGCCCATCCCTAAACCTCCTTGCCTTATCAACTCGATCTTTAACCAACCTCGGCGCATATTTGGACAATTCCACAAACTTAGCCTCGTACTGGTCTACGGACAATTGATTCTACTGGAGACGTTGAAACTCGTTCATCTTTTGTTCCCTGGCGCAGTCTGAGAAATACTTGTTGTAAAAAGCTTCCACGAAGGTACCCCACACCTGGGCCGTACCATCGGGGAACACCCTCCTTTGGGTAGCTTCCCACCAAGTACTGGCGTTTTCTTGCAACTGGTAGGTAGCCAGCGTCACCTTGTCTTCGTCCAAACATCTCAGCAAAGCGAACACTTTCTCTAACTCCCTGATCTAGAGGGTTGTAGCCTCAGGATCACCCGCACCAGTGAACTTGGGCAGTTTGAACTTCAGAAATTACCCCACCAACTTATGCATGGGTTGATTCCCATTTCCATTCCCAGCTAAAGAAATATCTACAGGTATAGGTACAGGTGCAGGTGCAGGCATAGCGGCAGCGGCGGTGCCGGCGGCAGCAGCTTGATTACGAGCTTGCTGTCCTACCAGGGTCTCTAAGGCCTCAAGGATCCGGTCTAATCTAGGATCCTTTGGTGCTCTCCTTCTGGCACCAGTCTGACCTGGTTCGACTCTCCTCCTAAGGGCCCTCGGGTCGGGATTTCTCATCTTACAGGATCTTTGGAGAAACCTGCTTTCTAATTCCAACAAGGAATTAGAAATCGTGAACAACCTGCTTAAGAACGAGAAATCTAACAATCAAACACAGGCACAAAGTGTTTTCCTAACTCACTATCCCAAAACCCATTGCACCTTATCACTCCAGGTCTTGACCAAATTTGGATCGAGCTGACCTTGCTCTGATACCAATTCAATGAGGATGTCAGGCCCCGAACCCTATGGACACGCAACATCCCGCTATGGTCATTATGATGCGACGTCCCAGGACTCGTCGCCGACCCTTTCATTTTTATCTTTCTTTTTATTACGCATGCGGAAGCAATAACAACCAACACCTAGATAACAATAATAAATAGGGATAGGTAGGAAAGCGATTCACAACAAACAAACAACAACACCATTTTAATATTCACTTGATTAACCCCTGGAAAACTTTTCTTTACAAGCCCACTTCGGGCACTTCCACAAAAAGCCTATAAAAAGATACCCGGCTGGGGTCGATCTACTTCACCATCAGTGGGTCAGTCAAAAAGTCAGCTTTCAGTCAGGTCTCTCATGAGCTATTATAGAGGGTTGGTGAGTCAAAGTAGGATGAATCAGGGTCGTGCTCCGATGGCTTAAAATCCGATAGATCCTCGGGAACAGGGTCGGGCTCAGGCTCAGGCTCAGGATCTTCTACTGACCCGTTAGGTGGGTCGATCTTCATAGGATCCCATATCTCGTACCCAGGACCCTCTTCCGGAGGACCGTCAAACTCCTTGATAGGTCCAAACAGATCCTCACCATCCCTAACAAACCAGGACTGGAACTGGTGGGGAGCCCGATGATTCAGGCCCTCATCCACCCAAACTATCGTCCGATGGCGCTAAAAAACATATGGTTGGTCAGGGAACACGTGCGTAGAAACAACAGTCTCCATGTCCTGAGGTACCTCAAACCGTACCGGGTGCATCGACATGCTAAGGACCTGAATATGTTTAACAATGACAAATGCGATAAAATCTCAGTAAGTTAACGGCCTAAACCCCGCTTAGGAGGCCAACTCGCCTCGAGGTTCCTAGTCAGGCAACCACACATCATATACTGATCAATCACATGCCGAATAACAATCGCAAGCATCTTTACCTCGCCTTGGCACACGTGGCATGCATAACATTAGTCAACAAACATCACAACCATGCACACAGCATAACACGTACTCGGAACACATAAAGAGATTTTCCGTGCATCATGCATCCACACTCGTGTGTCTCGATTATAATATAAAACCACTTGGGCACGACCCATACCATGCCTAGCAGTATTCAACCCATAATCAAACACTATGCAACATGCGTGTTCCATTTATCACGATCCCTCTGGGCCACTACTGTCACGCCCCGAACCCTGACCGGCTCGCGACACCCCTTCGATGGCCATATTGAACGCGACAACCCAGGATGCGTCGCCGACCCAAACGAAACACCCAACGATAAAGGCAAGCAGAAGCGGAATAAAAACGACCCAGATAATAAACAATGACAACGGGATAGCATAGGCACAAATCAACAAACACACTTCATAAAACTGACAGTCACTTACAACATTCAATCTAGGCTACTAACTTCAAGCCACATTTATCAAAGGGGGGCGATGGTTAGGTATTCTACTTCACTAAACAAAAGAGGGGGGCATCCAAAGATGAAACAAAGCATCAAATGCCCAAGGTCACTCCCAGTCTCTGAACCGCACGTGACGACTATCCGTCACTCCAAACCTGAAAATGTTTAACAACGGGGGATGAGATAAATCTCAATAAGCAGACAACCTATACCCCACCTAGGCCAATGCGTACCCAGACGAGTCTAACATGCAATCTAACCACCGATATAACAAACTTGCCAATTCACATTTACCTCGCACCGATTCACACGCCAGCTCTGCACAATAGATAATTCACCATAAAGCAATAATAATTCAAGAACATAACATCACCACTCAAACTCCATAACCACATATATTCAATCAATTCAATCACACTCAATTCGCATTCGTGGCCGAGCAACTTTCCACGACCCGGGTCAACACCCCACACGTCAGCCCTCCGATCAATCTAGGCTCCGTCCCTCACTAGACCTTTCACACTTTCTCATGACCCGCGTAAACACACCTCAGGTCAGCCCTCCGATCAATCCGGGCTCCGTCCCTCACTGGACATTCCACACTTTCACACTACCCGTGTAAACACGCCTCAGGTCAGCCCTCCGATCAATCCGGGTTCTGTCCCTCACCGGACATTTCACACTTTCTCACGACTCGCGTAAACATGCCTCAGGTTAGCCCTTCGATCAATCCGGGCTCCGTCCCTCACTGGACATTTCACACTTTCTCACGACCCACGTAAACACGCCTCAGGTCAGCCCTCTGATCAATCCGGGCTCCGCCCCTCACTGAACATTTCACATGCACATACACCACATCACAATTCGCCATTCTCACACGTCACACGAATCCAATTCAAATCACAAACTCATCACACTAGTCCACCAATCCGACACTCAAGTTGGCCCAATCAAACGTCAATTTCACCCACAAACGCCACGACAATCCGGTCATCGTACCCACATAAACCAGCCACTAATCATGCCACATAATCATCACAACTTAATCTATCAATTAACCACATTCACATATTGATCCTAATCCAAGCTTAGCCACTAACCCGATACTAATTAATCCCTAAACAAGTCTAATAATACCCATAATACTAGGGAAGGTTTAGGGAGTCGCTTACCTAAATTTGGCCCGGGAAAAATCGGCACGGGCCCAAAATGGCCTGGGTGAACAATAACGGCTCGGCATGGGCGAGGGCGCGACGGGCAAGGGGCTCGGCCACGGCTCGGCACACCCTCGGCCACGGCCCGAGGCTCTCGACCACAACCGGGCGAGCGGCTAGGCGCGGGCACGGGCACGGGCACGGGCACGGTGGAGATGGGCAGCGGCTGGGACGGTTGGGCAACGGGCTAGGCGAGCTCGGGCACGGCTGGGCACGCTCGGGCACGGCCTGAGCAATGGCCAGGCAAGCTCGGCCATGGCCTGGGGTGAGTTGGACGAGCGGCCGATGGCGACGGAGACTGGACGATGAAGGCTCGGCCACGGCCGGGACAGTCTGGCCAAGGTTGAGCTGGGGTGGCGTTGGGCTGACCAGGTGAGCACGGCGGCTGCAAGTGGCTGGACAGGGTTGCTGGGAGCTAGGTAGTGGCGGACGGAGCAACGGCGGAGGCCGGAACGGCGGCACGCGGTGGCTGGACAAGGCGGAGCCGGGGAGAGCTCAAAACAGGGGAGAGGCTGGGGAAGAGAGAAACAGGGGGAAAGGGAGGTCGCGCAGCGGCCTGAGGCGACATGGCGGCATTGCGGGTGGCCGGGCGACGGAGGACAGGCCGGTGAGCGACTGGGCAACGCTGGACCGCGGCGGACGCAATGGCGAGTTGTTGCTCGCGTGAAGTGTGGGCAGGCCAGCGACAGGCGGTTGCGGGCGACGAATGGCGGCGCGGCTCAGTCGGGGCAACGGTGGCGCGAGGCGGACGGCGAGGGGCGATCGGCAATGACTGGTCGAGCGAGCAGAAGCAGAAGCAGAAACAGTCGGGGCGGAAGAGAAAACCAGAGAAGAAGAAGAAGAGAGGAAGAAGAAGAAAAGGGAAGAAGAAAAAGGAAGAGAGAGGGGTGGGAGGGGACGTGTATGGGGAAAGGGGGGAATGGACGGGCGCAGTGGGGAGGGGACGCGGCAGAAGGGGGGAGAGAGAGAGAGAGAGAGACAAAAGTCAACGCAATGATTGCGCGATCCAACGACCCACGTTCAAACCAAAAATCGATCTAACGGTCCACGAAAAAACCTAATTATAAATTAGGAAAAAGGCTAGAAGATATTAATTAAAACACACTACGAGGGAGGTGTACTAATCCAAATTCGCACCCAGTCCAAATTTCACTTTTCACTTATCTCGAGCAATATTGACGTTGGCCACAATAATATCGATACCGTTCAATTAAATTTGTCACGAAACTTCAATAAATTCGACACCAAAGTTCGGGCTCTAAATAACGGCCAAATTCGATCGAGTGCGATTCTAGCGAAATCTCTAATTTAAAAATAACCCAAGAGTGATTAGTTCCGGGCGAGATTTTATTATAAGCGCACTGACGAAATACACGTTTTATAAATCCCAAAAATGGGCCGAAATTCGGAATGTCACAACTACACATCAAGCGATACGCAGCGAGATGGTAGTTTTTCGGCATGACCGGGTATCGTCCCGCCTCGTCGGACACGGCAACGTCAAACGATCTACAGAATGACGGCATTCCAATACGGCAACATCAAATGATCTATAGCAAGTGGTATCCCGTAAGGAGCATTGAATCCGCCATCGGGGGCCACGATTCGGCATTCGGAGTATCAGCTATCTAGATAATCTCCAAGCATTAGATAAAATCGAGCGCGATCTACAACAGACCTCAATAAATCGAGCATCGTCATGCGATCTACGGCAAGACGGCTTCGACATGGGACCACACGACCACACGAACACACAAGCATTCAAGCCAATTCATATCTTTTCAATTAGCCAATGCAAACATGAATTGTGCTCGAATTAATGCCACATAACCAATTTCTCGTGACCACATGTGCCAACAGTCACTCAATTTTGTAAATCATCATTTCGAAACACGCTTTTCATTCTCAAGCCTCAAATTCCTTTCTCGAACATAATTATAAAATAATTTATTTTTAAAGATTCAAAATATTTTCTCGAATCATAATCATTCAAATCATTTGTCCATATACGCCAACTTATACGGTGAAATCCAACATTGGTATTACAATCCAAGCATAAAACAATCACAATTCGGTACTAAAAATTATTTGAAAATATGAATATTTGATTTTCGGAATTTGAATATTTTATTAATAAATAATTTTTGTAAGAATAAAATATTATTATTTAATTTCGAAAATTAATTTATTTAATAAAATAAATATCAATAATAAATTAATAGATAACTTATCGTCAAAATAGCGATAACTTATCGCGAACACAACAATAGCCTATCACACAAATAATCATAGCTTATTGAACATACCGATAACCTATCGCTAAAATTTACCAGTAACTTATCATTTAAACACCGATAACCTATCACCACATCCAATGATAACTTATTATCTGCCGATAACTTATCATCAACAATTATCTAATAATCTAACGTAACCTATCACCTAATCCCACTTAACTAGTCAATAAATTAATCTAAACTAACCGAAGCAAGTTTAACACCCTAAACACGGGATTAGGGGTTAACTTACTCATCTAACTACTGCGATTACACGAGGACGGCGGCGGCGGCGCGGTTATTTGCGGTGGTTTCCGGTTCAAGCTCGGCGGGAGGCGACCGGCGGCAAACGAGCGTGACAAAGAGAGCGGCTGCCAGGGGCTGTTCGGTGGCTATTTGGGGTTGAGTCAGGGATGGGATGGTGGCTGGTGATGGCGTCTTGCTGGCTAAAATGGCGGCGGCAAGTGGCGGAGGCGGATGGCAGATGAACCGGCGAGAGGCGCAACTCGCCTTGGCTGGAATAGCTAGCGACGGGCTGTTCCGGGGCAGCAGAGGCGGTGCTGCGTGGCCAGGGGAAGAGTAGGGGTGGCGGTGGGGTGACGGTGGGGTGGAGCGGTCCTCGGCGATGGCTGGTTCTGCGAGGAAAAAGGCTGGTCGCTGGCTGAAAATAAGAAGCATAACAAGAAGCAAAAGCGAAGAAGAAGCAGCAGCAGCGAAGTAGGAGTAGAAGCGGCGAGGAAGGACGGTGCACGGTGGTGGTTGGTCCAGAACGCTGGTCCAGTCGGCGGTGGCAGCAAGAAGAAACAGAACGAGGAAGCAAAAGTAGAAGCATGAAGCAGCAGCAACAACGGTGATGCAGAAGCAGAAGTAGCAGCGGTAAAGCAGAAGCAGAAGGAGCAGCGGTGAAGCAAAAGTAGCAGCAGCGAAGGAAAAGTCAAGAAGAATAGGAAAAGAAGAAGAAAAGGAAGAAAAAGAAGAAGAGAAGAGAGAGAGAAAGGAGTTGGTGGAGTCGGTGGAGGGTGCAGCAGAAAATGGGGGAGTCAGCGGCGGAAGTCAGCCGGAGGAGGGAGGGGAGAGAGAGGGAGAGAGAGAAAGGGGAGGGTTGGGTTCATCATTACCCAAAAAATAAAGATCTTCCAAATTTCCTTTTTGAAATTTTCTTAAATTTTGTCCCCCAAAATCCATTTTGTCCTCGACCCAAGTACCGAATTACAGGCCAACTCATTCTTATGAGGTCTTGATGGCTGGGCCCCTCGGCCGCGAGGTCCAACAGGCTTTGCTCGGTTCACTTCCGTTTCTCGTGTCGAATTTCCGAATCTTCAATCCTTTTCCGAAATTGAAATTTTATACGGAAAACTCGTAAAATTATGAGACGACATCCTAAGGTTCGAGTGTGAAATTCTTGAGCATTCGACACTCAATATCAGATCATAATTCATGGCCGAAATCCATCAATCCCAACTATAGTTCATCTCGAACTAACGAGTGGTTGTTAGAAATAAATTATTCGATAGCCTTTTCCATTTGATTAGTATTCCCTGAGTGATTAGGTCAGGGCGAGAAATAACTAATAGAGCGTCGACGAAATCACCATATGATAAATCACCAAATTGGGTTGAATTTTTAGGATATAACAACCAACCAATCACCATTTCGTCCCCAGTTTAGCCCTCAAGCCGCGCTGAACAGCCGTCCATAGCACGCTGGTTTCTGCTGGAATGCTAGCTTCGTTGCTCGCCGAACACGTCCGCTGCTGCAGCTGCTGGTCCACCACTGTCCGGCCACCTAGCTAACACCACAAGCCGCCATTTCACACTAGGAACAGCCCCGAGCAGCCTCCGAATAGCCCCACAGCAGCCGCTGCCTTAGCCGCGCTCATTTGCCGCCGTTCGTCGAGCCCAAATAGGAAACCACCGTGGACAGTCGCGTCGTCGCCGTTGTTCTCGCATAATCGCCGTAGTTAGACGAGTAAGTTAACCCCTAATCCCGTGTTTAGGGTGTTAAACTTGCTTATGGTAGTTTAATTTAGTTTTAGATTAAGTTAATGGTTTTACAAATTATGGTCTCTCATTGAAAAAAAAAAGAAGAAAGTTATACTTTGCTACCTTCTTCATAATGGCAAGTATAGAAACCTAGACAATCTCACTTCAATTCGAAACACAAACAGTCCAATTCATTATGGGTTCAATCACAAGAAAGTGTACAAAACAAAGAAAAGTGCCACAAAAAGCAGAGACCCTAGACCAAACCCATCACCCCCACCATCATAGCTAGAGATACTGCTGTGATACAGTTTAGAGCTGCCAACGTATGTTGGGAAGTTGAGAGAGGGAAAGAAGGTGGTATGAAAAAACTTCCAATTTTTTAATGCTATGATTACTCTCGCGTTATGTATAATCACTACTTTTGGAGATTGAATTAATTGCCATATCAATTATATTTAACACAAGTATGCCAAGAGCACTCACTTTAAAATGACCCCAAAAACGTATATTATACGTTTGGCTAGAGTTACTATTGTTATCAAGGGAGGAAGTCCCTTCAATGTCACATCAATTTTCCTATATGAAAACATTTTCGATTTCATGTTCGGATTGTAGAAAATTCCTGGACAATTTTACTTCTGACATCGTTGCAGTTCATTCTCGTGTGAAGCACATTCACCGGCGTCGATTTTCACCAGAGAGACTTCCAGGACTTCCTCTTGATCGAAGAAAGAGCAAACCCAACACTACAAAAAAAGCCGGGTTTAGCGACGGAAAAAAATTGGTCGCTAATAGGCCGTCGCAAAATTTTGCCACGGAAAATTTCAATTTTCGTGGCTAATTTGCGACGAAAAAAATTCGTCGCAAAATTCGTCGCTAATTATTCGTGGCTAATTTGCAACGAAAAATAATTCGTCGCTAATTATTCGTGGCAAAATTCGTGGCTAATTTGCGACGAAATATATTCGTGGCAAAATTCGTGGCTAATTTGCCATGAACATTATTCGTGGCAAACTTCCGTCTCTAATTTGCCACGAACATTATTCGTGCCAAAATTCGTCGCTAATTACTCGTGGCAAACTTCGGCTAAATATTCGTGGCAAAATTCGTCGGTAATTTGCCACTAGATCTATTCGTGGCAAAAGTCGTCGCTATTATTTTGATTATTTTTTTTGTTGGTCGCGAAATTGCGACGAAATATTTCGTGGCAAAAATCGTTGCTAATTATCCGTGGCAAAATTTCTCGCATTTCGTGGCAAAATTCGTGGCTAATTTGCCAAAAAAAAATTTCATTTTTTTGCGACGAATTTATTCGTGGCAAAAGTCGTGGCTAATTTGCCACAATTTTTTTTTTTTCAATTATTTGCGACGAACTTATTCGTGGCGAAATTCGTGGGTAATTTGCCACGAACACATTTAGTGGCAAAATTCGTGGCTAATTTGCCACAAACAAAATTCGTGGCTAATTTGGGACCATATTTTTTTTTTGTCGGTTTTTTGCGACGAACTTATTCGTTGCAAAATTCGTGGCTAATTTGCCAAAAAAAAAATTTTTGGTCATTATTTTGCTACGAAAAATTTTGACTTTTGCGACAAACATTATTCGAAAACGAATTTGGCGACGAATTTTAATGAATAATTTAGGGACGAATGTTGTTTAGGGACGATTTCGATTTGAAATCTAATTAACATTGATAGAAAATCACAGTCAAGACAAGAACAAACCCCAAAAAGAAAGAAATGAAACAAAGTTCTAAATTAGCCAGTTCACAAACTGTTGTGGCAAACTGTTGATCTTGCCAAGAAGTTCTTTCACGTTGTCTATAGTGTTCTCCAAGAATCGAAGTCCTGTCCATCTGCAGCGCAAACATCACAATATCAAACTCCTAACCCCTGGTAATTTTTTCACATCTATTCAACAGCAGAAGCATAAAGATATAAGTACCTCTTGGAAATTTAAACTAGCAAGGATCATCATCATCATCAGCATCATCATCAGGAATCTCATTATCATCATCATTGTGGTCATCACCTACTGGATTAGTGGGAGGTACAGGAGGAACTTCATCAACTTCGAGGTTGAGGTGTCGCATGATCAATTGCAAACGTTGTTTCACTCCTATCATTTCTTCGTCCTTCTGTACAAGTAATTGTCTCAGGCGGTTCAATGCTTGGTCCTGTCGCTCCTCGTGTTGTGCCCTTAAAAAAGCCGCACTGGAGGATGAAGTTGCAGCAGCCGGCGTTCTGTACATCCTTGACAAGGATCCCATCCCAAATATTTGACCTCTTCTCATTCCACCCGATGCCTCCATCCATAATGCCATACTGTCAACCGATGGCTCGGACGCAGCAACACCATCACCATCACCATCACCACTAGCAGCAGCCGTGGTCATTACAAGTTCATCATATTTGTCCTACATTAACAATATAGATAAAAATAAAAAAAACTTAATATATATAAATACAAAATATAACCTTACATACCTTAATAGCTTTTGCTCGATTGCCAGTCCATGTCTTATCTTTTTTCTGAAAGGTGCGTTCAAATGTAGCCATAAATGTTGGTTCCGTCCCCAATTCATCTGCCTACAAAATATAGACATAATTACGACATAATTATTGATTTAACTTACAACATGATTAAAAGACTAACCATTCTTTTTCTACGCTCCCCGATGTTGATAGAGCCCCAGCATATGTGGCAGACCCTTCACTAGAACTAGAAGCTCGATTCTTCTTATTAATTTCACTGATTTGCTTATGCTTTTCAGTGTCCCAAGTTCTCATAATTTCCGTCCAATTGTCAGCTGTAATAAAATCCGGCTTTTCTTGCTTTCTCTTTGCTTTATTAATCACATTTTGCATGTGATCACCGGCTTTCTTCTTAAAAATTCTTTTAACTTCTTTCTCTTCCGCTTCATCCCACCTGAACTTCCGCTGCAAGCAATCAATAGAAAAATAATTGTACACTCAGTATGCTAAATCGAACTTAGTTTGTGAGGAAATAGAAGGACAAAACTTACCTTGAACTCATTCCACCACAATTCCTTTACTTCTTTTGGAGCGTTGGTCCAACTACTATACTGCCCATCCAATAGTTATTGATTATTTTATTAAGTCTCCTCACAACATGCGTAGCATCCGTGAATCTGCAAACGGGTTATAACTTATTTCAACATACGTAGCATCCGTGAAGCATACGGACAATTCAGTTGACATCCATAATAATTCACATATACTTAAAAAAAATGAAATACTTAAGAATCTCCAAATGGGGCTATCATGAATCGGGTATCTTCTTCATAATTCGAGTGTTGCGTTGAAGAAGAAGGTGGAACCGAAGCCGATGGAACTGAAGTAAGAGGGTCGGAGGAAGGGCCAATGTGTCCATGTACTAGTTAAGGGTTAGATGAAGGGGCAGGGGCAGGGGCAGGGGAAATGGAAAGGGACGAGGACGAGGACGAGGAAGTGGAAAGGCCTGGTCTTCTTTGTGAAGCATCACCACGACGCATGTGACCTCCACGTTTATACTAAAAGTTGCAAGGTTAGACAAAAATGTAAAAAATTATGAACATGTATTAAGGACACATAATGACGTATGTCGTGAAGCTTACCATTTTGTTATTGAGAGCAAGAGAGAAACGTGGCCCCTGAAAAAAAGGAAGCTGTCCGGAAATGTCTACGAGCTAAATTTCTGGTCCTACAACTGTAAAAAAGGGAGAACTCATCTAGCTGGTCAGGGTCATCAAATTTTCAGTTAATTGCTGTAATTCGACTTGTTTTAAAATTTAATTGCATGCTTTGAAAGCCTTAGAACTTAATAAGTTACACTTTCACAACAAATTTTATGATGCAAGGAAATCAGTAAGTTCTGTTCAACAAATTTTAATAAGTTTTGATTGCATGTTTTATGGTGCACATATCCCTTTAAAATGAATATATCAACTTCAACAAGGAAATCAATAAGTTTTGAACAAGTAATTATAAGGCTTTACCCCGAAGGGAGCCATTCCAGAAAACCCAAATGTCACGGAAATAGTTTTACCCCGATGGCCAAAGCTTCAACCTATGCCAAAGAAGGTTTGGAAATAGTTTTCAAAACCCATCTAAACGACTCCGAAAAGAAAAAAAAAACGCAAATGTCACGAAAAACACTATTCACCAGAATCGTTTTTTGCCAAAAAACCCATCTAAACGACTCCAAAAAGCCAAAAAACGACTTGCGACACGGCCATAGGCGGTGATTTTGGATCAGCGGGCCGTTTCCACTTGACCGACCAAATTTCAGCTCATTTCGACCACATTTCACCTCATTCCGACCAAATTTCAAATGAATTTCAACTAAATTTCAACCCAAATTTGACCAAATTTCAGCTCATTCCGACCAAATTTCAACCTAAATCCGACCAAATTTCAACTTAAATATGAGGAATTTGATTCTGTTTCGTGGGCGAAATAGATTGGGTCTGTTTCGCCCACGAACAGAATCAAATTCGTGGGCGAAACAGAAACAGAATTCTGTTTCGCCCACGAACAGAACGAAGCAGAAGCAGACCCAACACAGAAGCAGAAGCACAGAAGCGCCCACGAAACATAACTGTTTCGCCCACGAACAGAACGAAGCAGAAGTAGACCCAACACAGAAACCAGCCAACACAGAAGCAGAAGCACAGAAGCAGAAGAACAGAAGCATAAGCAGAAGCAGACCCAATCGTAGACCCAACACAAATATCAGAACAGAAGCATAAGCAGACGCAATCGCCTAGAAATAACGCCGAAAAGCAAACCCAAGCAAACGTACCTCTCGCTTCCCAACAGAAGGAGACCCAACACTCTCGGACGCCGCCGAAGAACCCAACAGAAGCAGACCGCGCGCTGGGTGTCCTCGCTTCCCAGCGTCCGCCGCCGAAGAACGCGGCAAAAATTCGTGGGATTTTTGTGGGATTTTTTCAGGAAATTCGTGGCAAAAATCCGTGGCAAATTTGCTACGGATTTTAGCCACGAATTTCGTAAAAAGCCCAAAATTATTCATGTTTGTGGGATTTTTTCAGGAAATTCGTGGCAAAAATCCGTGGCAAATTTGCCACGGATTTTTGCCACGAATTTCGTAAAAAGCCCAAAATTATTCATGTTTTTGGGATTTTTCAGGAAATTCGTGGCAAAAATCCGTGGCAAATCCATGGATTTTTGCCACGAATTTCGTGAAAAAATCCCAAAAACATGAATAATTTTGGGCTTTTTACGAAATTCACAGATTTTTGCCATGAATTTCGTAAAAAGCCCGAAATTATTCATGTTTGTGGGATTTTTTCAGGAAATTCGTGGCAAAAATCCGTGGCAAATTTGCCATGGATTTTTGCCATGAATTTCGTAAAAAGCCCAAAATTATTCATGTTTGTGGGATTTTTTTCAGGAAATTCGTGGCAAAAATCTGTGGCAAATTTGCCACGGATTTTAGCCACGAATTTCGTAAAAAGCCCAATATTATTCATGTTTGTGGGATTTTTTTTTGCCACGGATTTTTGCCACGAATTTCGTAAAAAAGCCGAAAATTATTCATGTTTGTGGATTTTTTTACGAAATTCGTGGCTAAAATCCGTGGCAAATTTGCCACGGATTTTAGCCACGAATTTCGTAAAAAGCCCAAAATTATTCATGTTTGTGGGATTTTTTTCAAGAAATTCGTGGCAAAAATCCGTGGCAAATTTGCCACGGATTTTTGCCACGAATTTCATTTCTACTATCCCACACCCGCGTAATTCATTTTTTTTTCCAGACAATAACGTTTCATTAACAATAATAGCAATAATAATATTCAACAACAATTACAATAATAATAACAACAACAACAACAACAACAACAACTATACTAATAATTACGACAACAACAATAAACTTTTGTCATAATAATAATAATAATAATTACAACATAATTAGTAAAAAGTCTCAAAAATCTAAATCTTCATCTTCACCTTTGTCTTCATCTTGATCTTGATCTTCTTCTTGAGCATCATCGTCATCGTCGTCATCATCGTCATCATCATCATCATCATCCTCATCATCCTCTGTCTCAAAATCAGATTATGCAACACCTTCTAAATTTGATTCGCGAATTTCAGTTAGATCTACATCTATCATTGCTCCACATGGATCTCGTAAAGTAGGAATGTTATATTCCTCAGTTTGAACCGCGTTACAAACTTCCTCTTGTTGATATGCTGTATCCTTCCAGTGTTCCTCGATTTTTCTTCGTGCTTTGGTTTTACATACAGCCCACCAATCAGCTTTGTCACGTTTCAAACTAGGATATGATGCATAATATACTTGAATTGCTTGTTGTGCCAACACAAATGGTTCATATTTCTTATACCTTTTCTTGTGATTTATTTCAACCAAATTAAACTTCGTATGCACCTTCATTCCTTTGACGGGGTTGAACCACATGCACTTAAATAACACAACCCGCATTAATGGTCCGGGGTACTCTATCTCGATGATTTCATCCAACAAGCCATAAAAATCATCTTTTGAACTACCACAATTGGATGACCGAACACACACACCACTATTCATTGTGGCTTTTCCCATTCCATATTCTTGAGTGTGAAAATTATACCCGTTTATGAAATATGCTGGCCAAGTTCGTATGCTTGACTGTGCACCCCATGACAGATAATATAGCAATCCTTGCTCTTCAACTTGATCATGATTACTGTGAACCTAAGATTACACACGCAAAGTCAATAATATATATTTAAATGATGTATAAAATATTAATAACTTGATTTTGGTCTATAGGCAACTTACATATGTTTTGAACCATGCTGCAAATTGTTCATCGCACAAACGGTCGAACTCATTTGGCGGTAGTCCATACATTGAATTTTGAAAAATCCTATTAACAATTTACATTTATATATTAGTAAATATTTGACACGCAATACATATATTTACAAATATACACTTACTGGAAGTATGGCTCCACTTCTGGACAGTTCAGTAAAATATAGGTATGGGTTGCCTGCCGTTCTTCGCCTGTTAAGCAACGAAACTGACATGCGCCGCTTGGTCGACCAAGATAATTGAAAATAGAGAATGATTTGCAATTGGGATCGATGGGACCTTCATCATTTCTTCCTGCTCTTCGCCTCTTGCACTGCACGTGCGGCTCAAAATAGTATGATGCAAATATTGTCACTTCTTCCACAATATATGCATTACAAATTGAAGCTTCAACACATGCCTTATTCTTCACTTTTTTCTTCAAATGATATAAGAACCTTGTTGCAATAGAAAGAAGTTTATCAGAACATAATATATAATAAAGTATTTTGAAATTTATTTTGAAAATTTTTTTACCTCTCAAATGGATACATCCATCGAAATTGGACGGAACCTGCAACTTTGGCCTCATAAGGCAAGTGAACTAAGAGATGCTCCATTGAATAAAAAAACGATGGAGGAAATATCCTTTCTAAATTGCAAAGAATAATTGGAATGTCTCTCTCCAGTTTCTCCATGTGTGATGCTTTTAACACTGTTGAGCAAATATCATGAAGGAAATTACTTAACTCTGTAATGGCGCCCCATACAAAATTTGGTAGAAGTTCCTTCAAAGCTATTGGAATTAGTCTTTCCATAAATATGTGACAATCATGACTCTTTAATCCTGTCAACTTGCATTCGTTCAAATCAACATATCTCCCGATGTTCGAAGCATATCCATCAGGAAACCGCACAGATTTCAACCATTGACAAACGACTCGTCTCTGCTCCTTATCCAATGTATAAACTGCTTTTGGTTTTGGTCCCCTGCTGCTTGCATCCACATCTAATGTTGGTCGATCACAAATATTTCTCATATCTTTTCTTACATTCAAGTTATCTTTTATTTTTCCCGTGACATCCATCACAGTATTTATGACATTGTCGAAAACATTCTTTTCAATGTGCATGGCGTCAAGATTATGATGAATAAGATGAGCCTTCCAATATGGTAGATCCCAAAATATACTGCGTTTAGTCCACTTATGTACACTTCCGTACGCAATAGTTGTGCCATGAGGGTTTTCAACAACAGTTGGAAAGTCATGCACTTGCTCCCATATTTGATCACCGGTCAACCTCAATGGTGGAGGAGTTCTTTCAATCCTATTCTTGATGAACTCTTTTTTATTCCTTCTGAATGTATGATTCATCGGCAAAAATTGTCTGTGACAGTCAAAATAGCAGGGCTTCTTACCATGTCTTAATCTGAATGACTTCGATCTCTGCAAACATATCGGGCATCCTAAGATCCCAGTTATACTCCATCCAGATAACATTCCATATGCTGGAAAGTCATTTATCGTCCAAAGAAGAGCAGCCTTCATTACAAATGTTTGATTAGTAGAAACATCATACGTAACGAACCTTCATTCCATAGCCGTTGTAACTCTTCAATCAATGGTTGCATATAAACATCTATCAACTTTTTCGGATTTTGCGGGCCGGTCACGATCAATGTCAAAAACATATAAGGTGTCTTCATGCACATACCGGGTGGAAGATTGTACGGAGTTAAGATAACTGGCCAACATGAATAACTTTTCCCTGATTTTCCAAATGGGGCAAATCTATCAGCACAGAGACTTAACATGATGTTTCGAGGCTCTATCGCAAACTCAGGGTATGTTCTATCAAAATGTTTCCATGCCTCTGCATCTAAAGGATGACACATTAGACCCTCTTCTGTTTCATGATTTGCATGCCAAGTCATGTGTTCAGCAGTGGCTTGAGACGCATAAAGCCTTTGCAATCTGGGGATTAAGGGTAGATAAAACATTTGCTTGCATGGTCTACGCTTCTGATTACGACCATGCCTCCTGTTTATCTTGTACCTAGGTTGGCTACAGAATTTGCAAGATTCTGCATTTTCATCATCTCTCCAATATAACATACAACCCCTACTACATATATCAATCCTTTCAACTGGAAGACCTAAGTTATCCACTAACTTCTTCATATCGTAAAAATCACTTGGCATGATGTTATCACGAGGCATTGTTTCTCGCATTACTTCAACAAAAGAGTTAAAGCAATTTTCAGACACATTATGCTTTGCCTTAATATTTAACAATCTTGCTGTCACTGATAACTGAGTATGGTTGTCACAACCTGCCCATAAAGGTTCATCTGCTGCTTTCAACACTTCCCAGAACTGATTAGATGGAAACGTTTCATTACACACATTCTCATCAAAACCTGTTACTCCTATCTCTTCCAATTGTTCAAGTGTAGGAGTAAAACTAGTACTTGTACTTGCATGGTTCGGATCTGAAACAACATTCTGACCAGCTGCATCAATCACCATCCTCTGGTATGAGTTCAATTGATCATAATAGCTACATTCTTTCCTAACTAAAAATTGGCCACTTATTCGCAAACCTTCATTAGATATAAATGGTTCACCATGACAAGTCCAATTATAGTAGTTCGGAGTAAACCCAAATCTACAAAGATGTTCTCTAACTGTATCACACACATGAAATTTACCATTACTGCACTTCCTACACGGACACATTTACTTATTTCCATCCATTAACTCATATTTACTATTAGCAAAGTCCAAAAATAGTTCCAACCCAGTACGAAACTCATCGGTCAATCCTAGACGTCCAGGTAAGTTCTTATTATACATCCAAGCTCTGTCTCTTTGCATTGTGTCTATATAAAAATAACAAAATCTCGTAAAATATTAAAACCAAAAAATTTTCTTAATTAAAACCATAAAATTCTAAAAATTAAATTTTTTTTTTGCCAAAACAATGACTTTGAAATTGAAAAAAATAAAACAATTACCATGTCAAGAAGACTTACCCAAGTATTTGACTGAAATCTTTGTAGTAGAAAGTGCTCAATTTGATGAGAATTGCAACGTTCACTTTATCTGCGAGACTTTCAAACGGATAAGTACCTACCAAAAAAAAATTGACTTCAGATTTTATTTTTTTATAATAATTTTTTTTGCCGAATTTTTTTTTAAATAAATATTTTTTTCGAATTTTTTTTTCCCGAATTTTTTTTTCCTAAATATTTTTCTCCGGTCCGGCGACCTGCTGAGGCCGGCGAGTTGGACCTCGCCGGCCATGGACGAGGTCACTTCGCCGGCCAAATCTGGGCGGCGAGGTCAAGCTTGGGCCTCGCCATGGCCGCCGTTGGACCTCGCGGCGGCCATGTTGGACCTCTGCGGCGAGGTCGAACAGCGGCCATGGCGAGGCCGAGCGGCCTCGCCCAGATCTGGACGAGGTCCAGCAACCCCGCCCATGGCCGGCGAGGTCTCACCGGTCCCCGGTCGCCGATTGCCGGACTGTTGACCGGCGACGAAGTTAGAAAAAAAAAGAGAAGAAAAAAACTCAATAAAATAACAAAAATTCGTCAATAGTTTTGCAACGAATCGTCTTCGTCGCAAATTAGTCACGCCACTTACCGGTAGAAAAGGTTTACCGAGACAGATTTTTGCGCATGCGGAGAGATTTATCGAGAGAAATGAAAGAGGGAGAGGAAGGGAGAACAGCGAAGAGGGATAAGAGGAATTAGCAGGGAGAGAGAGAAATTGGGTCTACAAGTAGCACGGACAATTAGCGACGAAAAAAAATCCGTTGCTAACTCCCTCGCAAATTAGCTACGAATTTTTTTTCGTCTCAAATTCCGTTGCAAATTAGCGACGGATTTTTTTCGTGGCAAATCCCTTCGCAAATTAGCGACGAAATTTTTTTTCGTTGCAAATTAACAACGGAAAAAAATTCGTCGTTAATTCCGTCGCAAATTCGCCACGAATTTTTTTTCGTGGCAAATTCCGTCGCAAATTAGCGACAACATTTTTTTTTTGTCGCAAATTAGAAACGGAAAAAAATTCGTCGCTAATTTCGTCGCAAATTTGCCACGAATTTATTTTCGTGGCAAATTCCGTCGCAAATTAGCCACGAATTTTTTTTCGTGGCAAAGTCCGTCGCAAATTAGCCATGGATTTTTTTTCGTCGCAAAATTCGTCGGAAATTTGTGACGAATTCTTTTTTCGTCGCTAATTTGCGACGAATTCTTTTTTCGTCGCTAATTTGCGACGAATAATTTTTCGTGCCTAATTTGCTACGGAAAAAAAATTCGTCGCAAATTCCGTCGCAAATTAGCCACGAAAAATAATTCGTCGCAAATTTCCGTGGCTAAATCCTTGTTTTTTTGTAGTGCAAGATTTTGCCAACAGCTCGCACAACTCTTCCTTGTCGACTGACTGCGGGAGGCTCGAACTCTCTAGATCTGGCGAGGTCGAGCCTCCCCGCCTCGCCCAGCCACTGACAAATGTGTAATAAGTTTATAACTTTTTTGGATAATTTCTCCTCCGAACAGATCCGGATAAAAACTCAAATAATTTATTCAGGCATTAAGGTAGGATATGATGCATAAATTAAATATGCAAAGGAAAAGTCGGAGAACGGCTTTGTCTATTCTTCTTAGTGCCCTACAGCAGGAGTTGTGCTGCCTTGTTCGGTGCACCTCTTAAATTTAGTCGTGTGATCTCTCTGTCTCTCTCTATGTTAAGGCTGTCGAAACTTAGACCGAAGCTACTGTAGTAGTCGTTGTCGACTATGTTGACCACAACAGGGCCATGTTAGTTAGGGTTTCTTATATTCATTTGACCATTTTGAGTTATCAATAAATTTCCTCGCTCTTGGATTCACGTAAATTCAACATTCCATCCCGCCCCTGTCGGTGCATTTTGTGGTCGAGCGTGAACCATGGAGCAATCTCGATCACTCTCCAATTGTTTTTGGTTCGGATAAGAGTTTTCGTTAACAATAGTAAATTAGTATTGATGCAAATAGATTTTCTATTGTATAATCTCGGACCAATATCCTAGAAAACTTTCTCCCTTTGGTATATTTTTCCACAATCCCCAGCATGTACATATTATGGTTAAATAATATTACCTCAATGGACAAAAATTCGGGTACTTATAGTGTTATTACCCCAATGGCAGAGCATAAACAGAATTTACTGGGATGAATTTCCAAGTAAATACACTAATCTAATAATTGAACTACAACTCGCACCACCGCAAGGTTTCAATAAGTTTAACCATTGCCGACAAGCTCTATCTTTGCTTTCCCAAGGGTTGTTGTAATTTTTTATTATACAGAGACATGAGGGCAAAGATGTGCGACCTAAAGAAGCATTTGCTATTGGATAATCAAATCATTTAATTTATTGTAAGCCACCCTATAAGGTTCGATCAGAAAATCATGGGGATAAGTACACTAGGAGTATCATAACTTTCGTACAGCGCTCACTTAAGTGTCATAACGTATTTTTTTTCGCTCGCTTAAGTGCCACAAATTTGAAAAATCGATCGCTTGAGTGCCATCGGCGATTTGCCAACTTGAAAGAATTGACAAAAAGCGGAGTCAACAATATTGGATGCAACCGTAAAAAGAGCAACCGTCAACGTAGTGAAATCGAAGAAACCATCGACATAGTGGAGTCAACGTAACCATTGATAACCGTTCGGTAACCATTCATAACCTCTACTTGTAACTTCTTTTTGTAACCTTTATTTGTAACTTCTTGTAGCCGTTAGAAAGTTATTTATTTTTTAGTAACCGTGTGTAACCTCCATTGATAATTGTTGATTGTAGGCTTTAAATAGCCACATTGTACTCTTCAGATAAGACCCCTGATAGATCAACCAAAATGTTATCTTTTAATTATCTTTACTTTCCTTTACTGCACTTGTCACGCCCCGAACCCTACGGACATACAACATCCCGCTATGGTCGTTAAGATGCGACGACCCAGGACTCGTCGCCGACCCTTTTCTTTTTATCTTTGAATTACACAAGTGGAAACGATAACCAACACGACAAACCCCAGACAATAATCAAATCTGGGATAGCAGAGGAAAACTAGTCATAACAAAAGCCATTTTTTTTTATCGATTAACCCTGGGAACATACTTACAAGCCCACTTCGGGCGTTTACACAAAAAGCCAGCAAAAGATAAAGGCTAGGGTTAATCTACTCCATCCAAAAGATCAGCTTCCAGGCCTAACCCTCAAGGACCAACCAAAAACTACGGTACTCCAAACTGCATAGGGAGCAACGACATGCTAAGGTCTTGAAAAAGGTTTAACAACAACAAATGAGATAAAATCTCAATAAGTTAACGGCCTAAGCCCCGCTTAGGAGGCCTACTCGCCTCGGGGGTCCCTAACCAGGCAATATAGCATCAACAACAACATCATTAAACAACCACATGCATCCTTACCTCGCCTTGATACACTCGTTGATGAAATGAACATGTCACATACTCGAAGCATTTAAATAGATTTCCCATGCATCATTGCATCACAGGCGCGCGTGTCTCGATTATAAGACAGAATCCACTTGGGCACGTCCCATACCATGCCTAGCAGTTTCTATCACATAATCAGGCACTATGCATCACACGTATTCCAATTATTACGCCCCCTCGGGGCCACCACACATCAAGCGATCTGCAGCAAGATGGCAGTCTTCCGGCATAACCGGGCTCCGTCTCGCCCCGTCGGGCACGGCTACGTCAAACGATCTACAGTAAGACGGCATTCCAATACAGCAACATCAAACGATCTACAGTAAGATGGTATCCCGTAAGGAGGATCGAATCCGCCATCGGGCCGCGATTCGGCATCCGGAGTATCGGCTATCCAGATAATCTCCAGGCATCCGATAAAATCAAGCGCGATCTGTAGCAGACCTCGATAAATCGGGCATCGTCAAGCGATCTACAGCAAGACGGCTCCGACGTGTGACCACACGAGCACGCAAGCATTCCGGCCAATTATTATCTCTTCAATTAGCCCATGCGTCCATGAATAGTGCTCACACAATGCCGCATAACAAACCAAGTGGTCACACATGCAAACGGTCAATCAATTTGTAAATCTCATTTCAAACATGCTTTCTTTCTCAAGACATCAAATTCATTTTGTAGACATAGTGATGACAAATATTCATTTTCGAAAAATCGAAATCTTTTCTTGAAAATAGTTATTATAATCATTTAGCTATACTAATTAATTAACACAATAATTCTTAGCATAAGCATCATAATTCAAGCATAAAAATCGCAATTTGCTATTAAAAATCATTCAAATATGCATATTTAATTTTCGGAAATAAATTATTTTTAATAGTATTTTTTTAATAATAAAATATTAATATTTAATTCCGAAAATTAATATATTTAATAAAATAATCAATAATAATAAAATAATTGATAACTTATCAACA